TKSYTTTTTGTTAAAAATKAGTGAGTGAAAATTACGATGTGAAATGATTTTTATTATTTATAMAAATTTTAATTTATCTCGGGGCATTAAACTTGGTTCCTCAACTGATAAAATTGGGGATGAGAATTCGAGATGGTAGGACATCCCTASCCTGTAGGATATATGTCAATTACTGCCGAGTTAGGCTCACTTTTGGCGTCATCTCCCCTAATTATTTAGACCTTATTTTATAACTTTTTCATTTTTAATTTTTAATTTTATAAAATTATCTATATTTTTGTTCATAATTATTTAAACACATTTGAACCTTTATTCATGTTTTTAAAAGGTAGATGCAGAACAAGAAAACTAAAAATAAAATAGTTATCAAATCAGGTCTTAATAGTTGTATATTCTATTATGTAGTGTAGGTAAAATTAGTTTTTGCTTCTACATAGTAATATTTCGMATATGATTTCGTAGCAGATTTGGAAATCGAATCTCAAACTTTAAAAAAATTGTTTAAAGTGTTTAGTAATATATTTGTAAATTATTGGTAGTTAGTCATTTAGTTCAATTTATAATATTAYTGTTTAGTTTATTAACATATATGTTAAAAAAAATTGTAAAATAATTATTTTAGAATATTATATAATATATAATATATTATATTTTACACGTTTTAATTTTAATAAAATTGAGATGTTTTTATAACATGATATAATATATTTATCAAAATTTTTATCTTCCCAACGAAAGTTTCAATTTGAAAATCTTAGAAAACTGAAAACATATAAAARATGATGTTTTTAGAATTTCTACTATTTCGATCACATAATCGAAAAACAGTTTTMAAAAATCAATACGATATATTTTATGATTAGAATACCATAAGTTTGTTTTTTTTTCACTACAAAAAGAGGTGAAATGGGTTGGAAAATCACACTCTAAAGAGGAATTCAAGGAGCTCAACTCTTATATTTTTGGCCATATGAAGCATCACCACTGTGGACCAATTCTTGCAAAACTATTTTATAATATTAACTATGATGGGTAAGTTTCATTATCTTATCATTAATTATAATTATTTATAAGTTCTTATATTTTAATTTATCTTAAAATGACGTAGTGAGGCCTAATTAGTTTATACGCAGTGAGGAAAAAAAATATTAATTAGAAGAATTATTGTTCTATACTTTATTAACTTTGCAAAGTACACTATCAAGTACATCGATATTGACTTTCATTATGTTATTTTCCTTTTTTTACATTAATTTTTTTATTCTATGATYTTTTAAAAGTAGAGTTATATATATTTTAATTTTATAGTTTAAAAACAAAGTCAAACTAATAACTGAAGAGGGACTGAAATTCATGTTGTAATTATACAATATTCCCACTATATTTTATATTGCTAATTTGGAATAAATGAAAATTGTTTTTTAACAAAATACTTTAAGCTAACTAGAAATGACAAATTGATAAAAATTCAGAGAGGAATTGATGTGATAAAACAATTAAATTTAGGTGAGAGCAATAAATTAATTAAAGTCTCCTAATAATTTATTTATGGGCAATCTTCAGTTGTGATTCTCCCTCTGGTCGAGTAAAATGGGCTACACCAGCTTCTTAATTCTATTGATTTTTCTCCTCCCATAATCTTTTAAAACTCTCCATTTTTTCTATAAAAAATAGGTAAGAATTTGTTAATCGAAAAGTTAATTTATTGTTCTCTTAACATATTTAGACGTGTAGACATGCTAYTAAGAAGAAATGGACTTTGTTAATGGGGTAGTTGGATTTCATGTGTCAAGCAACATTTTATATTTATGAGTTCCCGACCAATATGTTTAAGTTGTCAACAAATATTAAAGACTTTCCAAAACCAGTGCATTTAGTTAGAAATACGATACTACCAAGAAAGGAGTTTATTATTATTGTTTTTAGTATAACACAGGCGAGAATGGARGATTAAACCTCCAACTTTAAGAGGAGTAAAATGCGCTGACTACTAACTTAGGTTAATGTTGGCCTAAGGAAGGAGATTTAGAATGAGCAATAATACCTCAATCACTAAGTTATATTATGTTGGCCTAAGAAAATAGATTAATTGGCTAAGTAGGAGCATGATGTCTTATTAACCGTTAAGTTGTGCTCATGTTCGCCTAAGAAAGAAGATTTAAGAAGAAGGAGCAAGATGCCTTAACTTAAATTAGGTTCATGTTAGCCTAAAAAAGGGATTAATTGGATATTAAACGAATAAACATGATTAATTAAATCACCAATGAACCTCAAAGATTAAGATGATAGGTTATGATCAATTTAGTCATTTATAGGATATTTTGTCTTTTTAAAAGATTGAAATTGATTATTTAAACTATGTTTAGTCCATAACCATTTTGCTTTTTACCTTTTCTCCCAAAAATTAAGTTTAGAAACATTATTTCCACCCGTGTGTTTTTCCTTTTTTTGTTATTTTGTAAGGTTTTTAGATTCTGATTAGCTAAATTTTGAAAACTAAAAGAACTTGTTTTGTTTTTGAAATTTTGAATAAGAATTCATAATTTGAAGGGGGAAGTTATATACCTTTTTTTTTTCCTTGAGAACGAAGAATATATTAAAGAACTAGTAAGAAATCAAGCGATTTAAAAAAAAATAAGAAACATAAAATGAAATCGTTATCATAGTTGTCTTAAATTACCTAATTATTTCTCCAAAATGATCCATCCATTTAATGATAATCATAAATAATAGAATTTCCAATCACAATTAAATCTCCAATGAAAATTAAAGCCCTCAAACCCGAGTCAGGCGGTTGTCCCGTGAGATTAGTCGAGGTACGAATAAGCTGGYTTGAACACTCACGGATAAGAAAAAGTTTTTGACTMTSTGTTTCGAAATTCATAAAAATTAAAACGTGAAACAACCTCTTGTTAAGGATCCTGCATTGAAAATATAAATGACCTAATTAACATGGGCTAACTCCCCCTGACAAAGGTTTATGATAGACATGACTATTCTCATTGCCAATTAGTTTTAAAATGAAGTCCATAAATATTGATACCTCTCAAGTACSAGAAAGTTACTAGTATACTATGATACCRAAATTTTTCTATACTACTTCAATTTATTATTTTCCATCATTCACATTATTTAAGAATGAAATATGTCCGTGAAATAAAATAATGTATTACTAATGATGTGTCAATTTATAAATAGAATGAACATAGAATATATCTCTGAACACTATGTCAAATTTTGAGYGTATATCCTCGTTCTYTTTTCAAACYTGAAMTTAGTTCAACTARTTAAAGTATGTATCTCTGACCAAAAGTCGAGTATTCGAACTCCTTTACGAGGAAAATAAAAAAGATTTTATTGTATAATAATACAAGTCAAATCAATTGCTTCCAAGAGCACATTTGATCCAAATCATACGAAACTACAATTAAAAAATTAAATCCAGAGAGGGATGAAACTAGCCGTTCAGTGATTCTATGCAAAGCAAACGTACGGCTCATACTTTTTAAAACTTTATATGGGGTTGTTGGATAATATAATAAACTTTTATACTTTTTAAAACTTTATATGGGGTTGTTGGATAATATAATAAACTTTTATTTTCAGTTTGACTAAACTATATAAAATGCTATAAGCTAGGTTGGCTTTAATTATATATAATTCTATCTTTTCAAAACTTTTACTTTAACTTGTCTAATAAAACATTCATTAGCTTCAATCTTCCAAATCAAAACAAAAGTTTCTTGGAAACCACAATTTGTTTTTGTTAATTTACTCAACTTATTAACGGAGTTAGATTGAATGATAGTTTATTAATCTTTAACATAGTCTAAGAACGAGATACAGATTTTTGGGTTGAGTTGTGAGATCTTAACCATGTTATCACAGACTAAAGTTTTTTTCATACATCTTAAAAGCTTATTAAGTCCGGTCAGAGATAAAAGTTTTGAAATATTAGGAGCATAATTAAAACCGACCTATGATTCAAGGATATTTTGTATAATTTAGTCTATTTCAGACGGTTTTTTTTTTCTTTTATCTTCTAGAAAGTCATATAATATATATATTTTTTAATAGAAGTGCCAAGTCATTGTCTAGCTTGTTAATAGGAGTTAAAATCTGAATGTCCCTCCAAGTAGATGTTGAAATTAAAAGCACACGCAGCCATATGCATGCCTTGCCCTTTGCCCAACGCTACCCACAAGCATCCACACCTATTATGTACTTTTTGTACTAATTTTGGCTTTTCTATGCAAACCCTAATATTAAATTTTGCCAATTGGAATAAATTGAACAAAAAAAACAAAAAAAAAACCCCTTGAATAGTATCATTACTATATTTTAGAAAGGGATCGGTAAAGAAAATGTAGGGTACGTAGAAAATTGAAAGAACGTCGTCCTGTGATTATTTGTGTGATAGCATAAGTTTGAGAATAAGATGGTATTGATACACAAATTACTATACGCATATATTTCTTTCAAAGCCAATAACAAAGGAATTGATTAAATTTGTCAATCATTTTCCAAAATGGTTAACAACTAATGATGATGAACCACAATTTGTTTTTGTTAATTTACTCAACTTGTTAATGGGGCCATYGATGAGACATATAGTTAGCATTAAAAATATAGAGATCAGCACATTGATGGCAACAAGATTAGAAACGTTTTATTTAAAATACCCATTGGAGGAGATCCCTTCTTGGAATTTGTATATAAATTAATAAGAGCTCCTTCTGCAAAATCCAAGAACCAAGGAAGAAAATTTAGATATCAAAATTTTCACATTGTAAACAGAAAAAAAAAATGGCATCCATTTCATTTCTCAAGCTCATTTCTATCCTCTTCTTCCTCGTATGTTTCTTCACAACTCAAGCCGTTTCACAATCTGATGAATGTGTAACAACAGCCAACGAATGCACCAACAAAGACAAGGCCTTGCGCCTCAAAATCATTGCCATTTTCTCGATCCTCGTCGCGAGTGTCATCGGCGTTGGCTCGCCGCTTGTCACGCGATCGATCCCGAYGTTGCACCCCGATCGGAACCTGTTTATCATCCTCAAATCCTTCGCTGCTGGCATCATTCTCGCAACGGGGTTCATGCACGTCCTACCGGACTCGTTCGATATGCTTTGGTCGAGCTGTCTGAAGGAGAATCCATGGCACAAGTTTCCCTTTTCGGGGTTCGTCGCGATGATGTCAGCGATCGTCACCCTCATGGTGGACTCCATGGCCACAAGTATCTACACCAAGAAGCATAGAGAAATTATGCCTGAGGGTTCTGATCAGAGAGGAGATGATCAAGAGATGGCTGTGGCCAGTGGAGGCCATTTCCACGGCCACCATCATAGAGATGCCAAAGAAATTGGAGCTGGTTCTAAATTGTTGCGTTATAGAGTTATTGCCATGGTGAGAAGAACAATACTTTTGTTTCTATATGTATTGATTTTTTCTTGATTCAATGTTTGATTAAAAACTTTTGTTTTCAGGTTTTGGAATTGGGAATTGTGGTTCATTCTGTTGTGATTGGACTTTCACTTGGAGCAACAAATGATACTTGCACAATCAAAGGTCTAGTGGCGGCTCTTTGTTTCCATCAAATGTTTGAAGGGATGGGGCTCGGAGGCTGTATTCTTCAGGTAATTTAGATTCTTTGATAACGATTTTGTGGAACAAAAGAACAAGTCTTTGAGAGCTAACTTTTCTTTTCTACTTTAATTTTCAAGATTGAGTCTAGGTTTTAAAAATATTTACAAAATGAGATGACAAGACCAAGTAACATGAGTGTGAGAGTAATGTTTTAAAAAAATATAAAAATAAAATGATTATCAAACAAGTCRTCATTCAAGAAGTATACGTGCCACTAATGTTTGATAAGCTTCATTTCTGAAATTAAAAACTAAGAAATAAAATAATTATCAGACACGAGGTTATTGATTTTTTTTAATGAAAAAACTTCAATAGATCTAAAAAAACTTTAAAAAAGCAAACTTTTTTTATTTGTTTGGCTGTAGCCATAAATAACAACTAATCATTCTCCTAAGTTAAAGTTCAATTACACCCTATATTTGTTATAAAAAAAGGTTTCTTCTTTTTTAATATTTTTCATTTTTAAATGATTATATTTTTTTAGTACAACATGTAGAAGTGAAATTCGAACTCACGATATTTTAATAAAAATAGATTTTTTTCACTGGTTAAATTATATTTAGATTAGCAAACTAACAGCTAAATAGCTCCTATGGCCAATCGATAAGATGACCATTAATAATTATTGGTCATGTGATGTGTCAATGGGCTCTTTATTAAACATTAAATTATATGTCATCAAATTTCAAAGTCCAATGCCCTTGTGAGCCATCCGTTGAATTAACCTACATCATGTTTTTATTATCCAATCATGATATTTTTCACCATTTTTTTTAATATGGTGATTTGATTGACTTGAAAAAGGAGAGAATATGAAATGACCACAATATTGAATATTATAGTGTTACATGTAACGCAATGTGTTTAAACTACATCCAGAATAAATCAATGCACATGTGGAGGAAAAAACAAAGGTTGGATTATACTTTTAGCCTCAAATTCCTAACTTTTTTAGGGGTGTTTGGATGGATTGGATCGGGTTAAGAGGGATTTTGAGATCAATCCAAATTTTTTAGTTGGCTATATATATGAACCGTCGGGTTTGAATGAGATGGTCAATCTAACCCAACCCAACCCAACCCGAATATTTTCGGGTTGGGTTGTCTGTTTGTGTGTTTTTTTTTTATAATTATCACGATGGCGACGGGGAGTTAAAGATTAAAACTTAATGGACGGTTGAGATTAAGATATAAAATGGAAGAAGATAATATAAAAACCTTAAATGAAGGGTTATGGTTAACACTTCATGGATGATTGACAATATATATATTATTAAGGACAATACACATATATGCATAAATTCGAGTTGGATTGGATTGACCCAATTTTTTAAAGGTTGAATTCGAGACCTGACCCAACCCGATCAAATTGGAAAAATCACAAGTTAATTCAACTCAAACTGAGTTGGGTTAGTCGGATTGTCTGATTTTTTAACACCCTGCTAACTTCTTTAGATTTAATTTTGCTCCTATACTAAAAGTTTGTTTCTAGCCACTAGCATTTAATTAAAGCTAGCTTATGACATGTCATTGACATTAATGAAGAGCGACTAGATAATTTTTTGTGTATTTTGCAAAAGTTAATTAATAAGTCTTAACCCTATCCTATTTTATGTTTTTGAATTAAAAAAAAAAATCTTAAAGTTTATGTTTCTCTACGATTTAACCTTTCCATGTTCATTTTATGTGTCATTCAAATAAAATATTAAAATATATCGTCTAGTTCATCATTTTGGTCTCTTCACTTCTAGTTAAATCTTACTCATTATCTCTATCATTAATGAAAACTTATCTCATAAAAATAATTTGAATCCTCACTATACGTCCATCCAAATGACAAATGGGAAATATGCTCTATAATTTGTGCAATTATTTGTGGGTATTTGAATAATTATAGATTTAATTAATTATGAGAAAAAAAACATTAACTTTGAATAATATGTATAAATTCAATTATCATATATTTGTTTACTAAAAGTTTTATACTTTTTCAAAACTCTAACATTCAATTTTTATGATATTTCTACCATTTCTCTTCATAAGTTCATCTACCCTTTATTTTTGTATATTTTTTATATGTTCCTCATGTACCCTTTAATGAAATGCATCGGTATCATTTGCAAAAAACAATCTTTTTGAAATTTCTTTCACACTAAATAAAGAAAAGCAAACACGTCGTGAGAACCAAAGCCTAGAAAAACAACACCGTTATATATATATCAACCGAACCGATCGAGCGGAGTCTAGAAACCATAAATATTAATGTAGTGTCAAGTGTCAGCTGCCTAATTAACTTTGAGTCCAAAAAAATGATTGCAGGCAGAATACAAGTGGATGAAGAAGGCAATAATGGCATTCTTCTTCTCAGTGACAACCCCATTTGGGATAGCCCTTGGAATTGGGCTGTCAAGAACATACAAAGAGAACAGCCCCAGTGCCCTAATCACTGTGGGATTGCTGAATGCTTCTTCTGCTGGCCTTCTCATCTACATGGCCTTGGTGGACCTGCTTTCTGCTGACTTTATGAGCCCTAAATTGCAGGGCAGCATCAAACTTCAGCTCAAATCCTATGTTGCTGTGCTCTTGGGGGCTGGAGCCATGTCCTTAATGGCCAAGTGGGCTTGATTTCACATATATATACCCCACTGTATGTCTCTAGGTTTTGTCAATCCTTAAATAAATATTTTACTCTAAAGTCGACATCTTTATTTTCTTCTTGTGTTTGTAGAATCTAATCTAGCTCCCTCTTGGGTGTGTTGTTCTTAGTTTCTTTTGAGAAGTTGATTGGTAAATGCTTTGGTTCTCTTCTTCTAGGTGGTTACTTGATCTATAGAGAGAGTTCATGTTCTTAATAAAATTTAGTTCTTTTCATATTTTTCTGACCCTTGTACCTATTTGTGTTTAATTTTTAGTTCAAACAAGTGGTACGTGGGGTGGAGACTCGAATATCTAGCATTTTAATTTTATTCTCATGTTGACGTAGAATTTGATCTTAAAGTTCTAAATTGAATTCTAAACTTTAATAAGTTGGGAGATCAATATGTTTATGAATTGATTTATGTTGGGGGCTGTGTGGTGGGTGGAATCCTCTGGTATCGAACAAAGTGGTGCGAGCCTTGAGAAATTCGTGGATGATCAGCTATCCAACATATGGTATGCTGAAGTGAGGAGAGAAGTGGCGCGTCTAGTTAAAGGCGATCTACTCGGACTTTAGACACGGATGGATGACTATTTAAGGAGAGGGATGATTTGTTGAGAACGCAACAAAATTCTCACTTTATCTAGACAAGGAGAAATTCAAGTTAGGACAACATATTTATTAATATGAGGTATGTTGGATAATACCAAAAGTAAAATCATGAAATATTATATTTAAAGCGAACAATACGAAGATATGGGAGTGTGGCTCAGACTCTTCCTTGACAATTTAGTACACTGTCTTTTTTTTTCCTCGAAAAATTTGTGGTTGGGCGTGAGTTTTCTCGGGATTGGTGAAGCCAATTTTCCAAGTGTGATGACTTTTTAGATGAGTTGGTTGTTTGTTTTAATTGGAGTCGGGTATTTTCCATTTTAACTTTATGTATCTTTTAATTGCTTTGACTTGGTAGATATGTTTGAACATTTATCTATTTGAGTTTAGGCATTTTTGTGGCTGATGTTGTGTAGGCTATATTTTAGGTGCTTTTTTGCTTGACTTATTGTCAGCTTGTTTTCAAGAGAGCATTTATTTATCAAAACGAGCATAGTTTAGCAATAATTGACATAWATCTCCAATTAAAAAGTTGTGAGTTCGATCCACATCCAGTTATGTGTTGTACTTTAAAGAAGAAAAAAAGGTATTTATTTGATTCACTAATTAAAGAGACACTAACCTAAACAAAATAAAATAAATAAATATTTTTAAATATAACAAAAATTTACAAATAAAGTAGCATCATTAGATCAAATTCAAATTAAATAAGAAAAGTTAATATAATAATACACTATAAGAAAAGTTAAATTTATGCTATATTTGAAAAGAATTGAAAATTTGTAACACTTTTTAAAATGTATAATACATTTATGTTATCTACTTACAATTTTACGACTTAAATTTGGCTCATTTAAACCAACCTGAAATGAGTTGTAAAACATCTCTACTCTTCTACTAAGATCGTAATTAAGTTCAAATTCTTGCTTCGTATTTGTTGTACTAATAAAAAAATCGACTCGTTTAAAAAATAAGTTCTAAAATTTATAAGTGATAACTTTGATTATATTACTTCTGTGACCTTTCTAATTTAAACAGGATTTCTCCCATATTAGCTAGACATTGGCCTAGTAAGAATTAGTGTCAAGTGAATTGGGTCTGAATATTTATAATTTTTTTTTTAAATGGTTTAAGAAAGTTTTCCTCCCATTTGAAAATCAAAAAAGATTTTTTTTTTATCTAGTGAGAATTAATTTTAATATTGAATTACTCTAATTTCATCCAAATGAACAGTGGCACTCATCTCTTCCAAAACTAAAATTAGAATACTAGCTACTCATAAACCAACCAATAAATACTATCATCATTTTTTTATTATTTCGATGTATTATTATATGATTAAGTCATAAATAAAATGTCATTTCTGACAATATAAATTATAATAATGCAACTCTCGTCATTATCATAAAAACACAATTTTTTATTGTTTGACGAACAATAAATGAAATATACTATTAGAATAATTAAGATAATCTCTTTGATTTCAAGTATCAACAAACGATACCTTTGTTTATTCACGTGCATGGATATAATTTGAATAGTGGATCTAAAATAGAAGATTTGACTTGAAAAAAAAAACAAAAAAAAAAACAAGAAAAGAAAATATAAAGATAATGTTAAATAAATAAATGATGATATCATGTTTTACTTATTTATTTTATTGCAATTCAAATGATTAAACATTCACCTAATATCTTGGAATTGGATGGATTTTTTCACTTATTTAATCAAACATCAACATAATATTAGAATTTATTTGAAAAAAAATAGATTTGAATATATCTTATATTTTTTTTATCCTAAACTTGAAAAATAATACTCATTCTACTTTTGTAACTCAACTTTCAAATATTCTGAAAAAAATTAATCATGTTGGTAGTTCTTGTTAATTTATTATATGTATTTAACAAAAATCTAGACTTATCGCAAACCCTATTTTAACCAATATATTTGTCTAAGCTGAGATGATTTTAAAATTTTTTTAAAAATAATAATAATAATAATAATAAAGACTATATTTATGTAAAATATAAGGTCTTGAATAAAATATTTAAAATTTAAAGACCAAAATATAAAATAACACTAAAATTTGTAAACTACATTAAGAAATTAAACCATAAAAATATTATAACATGTTGGTGTTTTAATATGCTAGAATGTCTTCAATACTCTTGCTTCCGATCTGAAAATAATAATAATAATAATAATAATAATAAATAAAATTATCAATTTGCTTCCAATGATATGACAGGTCTGGTTTGTAAATTATTGGCCCTAGCTGGGTCAAATTAGTAATTAAGTTTTAAGTTTGTTTAATTAATGTTATACCATGAGTTAGATTTAAAACATATTTTTTAAGTCCATAAATCTTTTTACCTATTGAAATCTTTTTTTTTTTTTGTAATTATTATGTTATGGTGTCAATTTTGAGTGTTCAAAAAACTCGACAACCCGATAAATCCAACCCAAACCCTATGTTGGGCTGGGTTAAATGAAGCTTCAGATTTGGTTGGGTTGTGATTTTTCCAACTCCATCGGGTTGCGTTGGGTCTTGAGTATGTTCAACTTTTAAAAAATTAGGTCAACCCAACTCAATCCGAATTTATGCATAGATGTGTATTTCTTTATTATATATATATAATAATATATTTATCTTCAATGTCAACCGTCCATTTAGTTTTAATCCTAGAATAACCTTTAGGTTTTCATATTATCTTCTTCCATTTTGTATCTTAATCTCAGTCGTCCATTTAGTTTTAATTCTAACTCCCATTTGCTGTCGTGATAATTAAAAATTAAAAATTAAAAAAAAAAACATAACCGATCCAACCCAAAAATATTGGGTTGGGTTGAGTTGGGTTGGCCATCCAATTCAAAGCTAACGGTTAGAGGTATATGTCAATTACCCGCTAAGCTATGCTCCCTTTGACAAAAACTCTTAGATCTTAATTAGTTTTAGTCTCCGACTTTCAAATATTTGGTTTTAGTCCTAAATTTTACATTAAAAATTATTTCGCTTATTGATGGTTAAACCTTTTATTAATAATTTTGTTAAAAAAAACTTTTCATTAATTAATCATTTAACAAAAGTCTAAATCCTTTTAGAAATTCTAATACCTTACAATTATACCCTTGGACTTCAATTACTTCTAGTCTTCTCTACTTGGATATCTATCTACTCATCAAATAAACCAAAAAAATTAGTTAATATTAGGTTTCCTTTAAATATAAATCAGTAAAATAATTTTTTCAAGTAAATTGAAATGATTAATATAGAATATTGAAAAGTTTAGGAATCAAAATAAAATAAACATAAAAGTTTACCGAATTAGAATATATTTGAGAGTTATGAATTTTTACAAATTAAACTTATTTGAAACTTTAAGTAAAATTATTTATGAATTTTTATGTAAAATAAATAAAGATAGAATATTTGAGAGTTAAAAAAATTAAAATAACAGAACAAAATATAAAATTTTATTATTCTTTATATTATTTTAGATATCTTCATTACTCAAAAAGTATTTAAATTTCTGAATTGAGGAAATCAATCAACTAACATGTTGTTTGTTTGTTTGGTCGGTTTTTGAAGAAATCAACATTTTGTTGTGATGTAACTATTTTCATTATTATTTTTCATATTCAAATACATCATTCAAATCATTTTATAAATATTTTCTTGCTAAGAAAAATCGTTTTATATAATATTTTTTTTAGTTCATTTTATGACTAGTTGATTAGATAGTAGACAATTTATTATTTTTAATCTGTAAAATTAGCTTCATCTAATCATTATAATTTGTGAAAATATTATGTCATATTATATCAATTAAATACACATTATAAATAATTAGTCAATAAGTTTAAAAAATTACTTGTTCTGCAAATTAATTTTCAAAATGAAAAAATAAAGATAAAAAGAAGCCCAAAAGTGTTCTGAAAATTTGTATAAAAAAATATAATCTAAATTAGAATCAAACTCAAATCTAATGTAGAATACATTAAGAAAAGTAAAATTTATGCTATTTTGGCATAAAAAAATAAAAGAGAAATTGTTACCAATTTTCAAGTACATATTAAATTTTATGTTACACAGCGAAATTTCTCTAAATTTTTAATTGTCAAAACAAAGTGAATAAATTACCGAGAACTTCCAATTTATAGGTTATTTTGAGTTCATTTCTTTTATTGCTTGAGATTTTTATTTTTTTTTTCAAGAAAAGAAAAATCTATAGATAATCTCTTAGCTAGGCTAAGATGTAATAGATTTTTGTTTTATTTGAGGTTATAATTAGTAATAATGTGGTGGAATTTTTTTTAGTATGTGAGAGTTGGGGATCGAAATCACACATTCTTAGTTGGAAATATATGTCAATTACCACTAAGCTATACTCGCTTTGACGTGTGGTGGGATTTTGAAACTCGAGGAAGATTATTATTACTTTATATATTAATCAAGCTGTCCAATGTTCATATTACACATTAATTTTTATATATTAATCAGCTGTACAATGTTCAGATTACACGTTAATTTTTGCATTGGATTGAAAGATATTTAAATAAAATTCAAAATAGATATTTAAAAATGTTTAACACAGAATGAATAATTAGACGTGGTGCTAAAAAAAATACAATTTAATTTGTAGATGGGCCTATATTTCGAGATAGAAAACCCATTAAAGTCGTGTGTTGAATCCAATGTTGCAAAAAAGACTTTTCCTACCCTTATCCCACAAAATTTATTTATGGATGGCTGCGTTTTACTTTCTGAGTTCAACAGCATGTGAGATTGGAATTTTTAATTTTTTTTATCGATGATATATACTTTAACTTTTTAAATTATGCTGAAATTCGAATTTTTAATTTTTTGATCGAAATATTTTAACTAATTAAGCTACGCTTGACTAAAATTTTATATTATTGTAATTGAAAATTTTGATAATAATAATATAGTTTGTTGTCAAATCTATCTCTTATCAGATGTTTTAACTTTTAATGCTATTATGAGTTGAGATAGAAATAACTCGCTATCAAAATAGTGTTTTTAGCTCATGGGACGAGACTTAATTAAGCAATTGTTTAAAAATATTAAATTACAAATTTGATCTCAAACTTTTCGTGTGTTTGGTACTATACTTTAAAAAAAATTATGATAGGTCCTTCATCTTTCAAGGTTATATTTAATTGGTCCTTGTATTTGCTCGTCGGTTTTTTTCAAAGATAATGTTATTATCTTTTAAATTGTTATTTAAATTTGATAATACATCTTCTTATAGCTAATTTGAAAATTTTTCATATGACCAAAAAGAAAAGGTCCTTTTGAAATATTTTAATTTTCTTTGAGAAACTAATTATTTAATGGTAAGGGACCTTTTTTAGCTAATTTTAAAATATTTGAATAACCGATAATGAAATTTAATTTATAAATCTAGCATTAAATGCAAAACTTATAAATATGTGACATTACAAAAATAAGATTAAATTTTTCATTTTTTTTTAGATAAAAGCATTGCATTCAAATTAAGAAGATGTCACGTGAGCTACATTTGAGATGAAATCTTCCTCAATAAGAATCAGAAGCCAAAGGATAAAAATTGATGGACCATAAAAGTGTGGCTGCTTGAAGGAGGTCATTCTTGGTTAACATAGAGCTGGTTTATCGTTCAATCCAGAGATATAGTTAAAGATAATGGAGGAGAAAGTTAGGGCTAAATTCTTAATGTCCATCAGACAACTAAGCTCATCCCCAAAAGTGGAAATCTCTCCATGAATGAGTCTAATAGAGTTCAGAGAATCTGATTCGACCTGAAGGTTAGTGAAGCCCATGGATTGAACTTGCCACAACCCTTCGAGAATCGCCCGAAGTTTCGGCAAGTAGGACGTGATTGGCATGAAGACATTGATCCTTTTTAATGTAGATTGAAGTTTCAAGTAATGAAATAAAATAAACATAAAAGTTTAATGATACATTTCATCCTAAATTTTTGGATTCTAAAAATGTGTATGAAAGTAGTCTATAAATTGGTCAATAAACAAGTTTCTTCTTTGGAAATAGAAATTAAAATAAAAATCTTTAATTAAAAAAATGCCGTCAAAAAGTTGTTGATTTTTTATTCGGTCGGATTCTTCGAAATTTTTTTAAAACTATTCTATTAGAATTAGAAAAATATATTCATTGTTGTTTTCTTAACAACTTTTTAGAATATGTAATTTTTATCTTTTTTTTTCTTAGTTTATTCTTGCAAGTGGTATGTTGTTTTGGAATAATTAGACCCTATTGTTCCTTTAAAATATTATGAACTAATAATCTTAACTTTTGTTTCTTAAGGGAGTCTATTATTTTGTTTCTTAGGGAAGTCTATTATTTTTGTTTCTTTGAGATAAGAATATCTATAATTATTTGTATTGTATGATGATTATTTTATAGTACATATTTTAAGTGAAATAAAGCAAGACGAAGAATATAGGTCGAGTGATCAAACCTCGACAAGTCAAGACCCAATCTCAAGAGGTTGTCCGAAAAATCAAGGGCTAAGATCTAAGAAGCAGATTCGGTCCACGAGCAAAGTCCATAGGTCGGTTGGTCGGCCACCGTGAGCCAGTTGATCAGCCAAACATTGCCGACCAGCCCTTGGTCGGCTAGTCGGCTAGTCGGTTTGACCAACCATTCCTTGGTCGGTCATGGACGAATCACATTAGTCCATAGTTCACTTGGGCTTATATTATCTCCATAACCTCTCGTGCCTTGCAGAATGGACCCACCCGTAAGTTTTATCCTCTACAAATATGGGCATGATTTGTAAGTTTTTATATTAGTTATAAGAATTCTTATTAAATTTAATTAGCAATTTTAAAAAAGATTAATTAATTTAATATTTACTTTTAATTATTAATATTTACTCTCAAAGCAAAATTCATAAAAAATAACAGTCTCAAAAGAAAATAAAGATAAGAATATATGAATTTAAAATTAATTAGAAAATAAAATAATTCAAATAAAATAAATGTGGGTAATAAGTCAAGTGTGTCACCTTTGAAATGGATCCAAATTTCTATTAAATTATTTAAAGAAGGTATATCGATAATTCTAAAATTTAAATGTTAACTAAATCATTTTAAAATTTAAAAGTTAAAATAAAACATTAAACTTTAAGAGTTTTTTTAGTAGTACTAAAATTTTTAGAGATTTAAGTTAAAATAAAGTAAGTACTAAACTTCAATAACTAAAACTTAAACTTCAAATTTATCATTGCGTTTTT